ACTCGGACGAGCGTTACTTGTTTCTTTTACAAAATAACCTGTATCTACTCGTCTATGCAAACAATGTAGTTATTTTTTGCCTGGATTTATAATGTTATACTAAATGAGTTCATAGAAAAAGAATTAAAACTCTTAATGTTAGCAGCAGCAAACTTTGGCGCATGATTTACGATCGATGACGGTTGTCTTTTTGATAACTTTGACTGGTGCACAGCACGCAGTGGTACGTACACAACATCATCGACCACAGCAACAGCCACGACGTGATGAACGGCAACAGATTGGCATATTAATAGTAATAACTTGATATGAAGTAAAACTAGAGTACGATAAAAACTGATTTGTGAAACTATGAGAATAGTTGTGTATATATACAAGTAATGAAATGAAGAATGTTGTTTTCAATCGACAAAAAAAACAATTCATTTCTATCTTCATATGACTTTATGTAATATGTATATGTGATAGAGAAACAGATATGGAGAAATAAGTAACACTTTGTTACTGTTTATATGCAATAAATCAAACATCAACTACTATTGCGTATCATTTCTCACTCATGCAATACAATAAAAATATCAAATTCATGCTTACTATCAGCGTTCTTCCTTTGATTTGTTTGATAGTGTCGAAAACATCTAAATATAACTGCACATTCACGTTGTGACTACACCTCGAAAAGAGAAAATGTCATTTGATACACTTTTTCACGAAAACAGTCCTAATCAATAAAAACCAAGTAAATGTTTTCGATAAAAAAAATTGATTCTCACGTTCTATTACAACACTAGTATCATCAAATTCCATCGATATCATAAACACATTACAACAACAAAAGTAATGAGAAAATCCGTGTATCAGTTGTCTATGAATGAATGGATGTTTCGATGATGCAAAGACACATTAAAATGAATACCTTGATATTTTCATTTCTTTGATTGCTTCTGATTTTGATCAGTGATCAGAATTGTTCTGATTTATAATATGAAGATCAATTGAATATTATATTTAATTAGTATTATTTATAAAAAAAAAACGATATTTCTATTTAGTTTAGTTGAACAATTAATATTTTGATATATAGGATTGTTTGCAACGACAAAAAGGATTTTCTTCAAGATTCTTCTATTCAATGTTATAAATATATTTCACGCTCGTGTTAATTATGACAATGATTTTTTGTAAGTAATTATAATATTATATTTTCCAGTGATAATTATGCCAACTAGTATGCACTATAAGATACTTTTAATAATAAATTATATTTCTCTGACAACGAGCATGTTTTTCCAATAAAAACATTCTTTCAGTTTACTTCTTTTATATAAATCTATTCATCAACAATACCCAGACAGACAAAAGCTTTAAAAAAACGGCGAAAAACGCGTAGAAATTTTAACGAAAAATAAAATCGGGAAAAGCGCACATTTCTACGATTTTTATTTTCGTTAGTTTCTCTACGATAATCACCGCGTTAAAAATTAACACGTATTTATCGGTTAGAAGGGTACGCATTTTAACGTCATATTGAAATACGCGTTTTTACTCTTTTCCAATTAACGCATTTTTACGTGATATTATAATACCCGTTTTTACTCTTTCCAAATATACGCTTTTTAAAAACCTGAAAATGTGCGCTTTTCTCGATTTTTATCTCCGTATAACTTTCTACGTCAAAAAACACGTCATAACTCGACACGTTTTAAACCCAAATCATACATAGTTTCCATTCCTACTGGACACCTTAAGTATATAATACGCTCCCAAATTATCAACAATTATTTTACACAAGCCAGTAACATCTGCTCATACCCAACTGGGTACCGTTTAAACATAAACTAAAACGGCTAACATATCAACAAGTACTCAAACGACTACCGTAAAAACATATACTCGAACGAATAACGCATAAACATATACCCACATGGGTACTTATCAAAACATATATAGTCACATGGGTACTTATCAAAACTGATATACCCACATGGGTACTTATCAAAACTGATATACCCACATGGATACTTCTCAAAACAGATATACTAACCTGGGTACTTATAAAAAATTATACCCACATGGGTAACGTATTAAACTATACCAACTAGGGATCGAGAAAGTTCAGTTCTAATTCAGAACGATTCACTTCGTCAGCGGGCTTTCAACGAACTGCACTCAGTAAAGAAGTTCAGTTGACGCGAATTCAGATGTATAAAGGGCGCTTTTCAATGAACTGAGCTTTTGGACCAATTTACTTGCTGCGAAGCGAGCTGTAGAATCAGCTCGTCTAGACAAACTCAACTCAGGATTAATTGAGATAAGATGAACTTTATGATCCACTGATTTCAACAAACACTAAAATAATAATATTCGGTGACTACCACGCAGAGTTATCTTCGGGTCGTCATATACTATACTACGATGGTACCCTTGGGTCCTTATAAGCTGTACTAGTGGGTCATAAAATTGACCAATCATGATTTAAGGCTGATAAAAGTGACCAACTAGATGAAAAGTACCTTGAAACTATAGAGTCGTATAGCTGTGAGAGTTGGAGAGAGTGTGGTTGACAAGTGAATATCTACATCGCAACCCATTCTTAAATCATCAGATGCTATACGAGAGTGGGTGAGAGTATAGAAAGTAACTCGTCAACCACCCTGTAAGCAACCCGCAGAGCTATACGACTCGATAGCTCTAAGGTACCCTTCGTCTACTTAGTAACCATTATCAGCCTTAAGTTCTGATTGGTCGATTTTATGACTCTCGATATCTGATTGGTGAGTTTTGTAGTACTGGAATTCTGACTGGTTGATTTTATGACCCCCTATTATAGCATATCAAATCCCAAAGGTACCCTCGTAGTATAGTATATGGAGGATCTAAAGGTAGCCCTTCGCTGTAGCAGAGGAATATATATATATATATGTCGATGTTCACTCAAATGAGTTGATCATAAAGTTTATGTTATTTGAATTTATCGATAAGTTCAGTTTGGTCATATGAGCTGCATATACAGTTTAGGTCATGCGAACTGACCTGTTTCAATGAATTCAGATCGGTGAGCTGAGTCTCCTGAAAAAATGAATCGTTCTGAACCAGAACTGAACTATGTTTACTCCTAGTTTATACTGCAGAAATAAGGGTAGATATTGATAAGCATAGATTCGGAAATTGCATTTAAATGAACCGAATAATGTCACTTTATTATTGTGTTGTTAATGTGCTAACAGTGTTCTCACGTAGTTATTTCTGAAGGTTTGCTTTGTCTGAGCAGCTGCATAATGGAAATAAAACTTTTTAACGATATCGACTTGGGAAAAGTTAAAGCATTCTTTCGATAAAGGTCATGCGCATATTATTAGTCCAAGATAGTTCCTATTCTAAATGTTTTTAAAACAATTTTCTGCTATCTACCTACTTTAGTAGAAAATTACTATTTCCGAAAGTATAAAACTACTTGATGGTTATCAAGAAAAATGTGTTGTGATCTGACGGGTGAGAGCAAGCAGTACAATATCATATGGGTGTACGTCAGAATGTGCGTCGAATAAATCTGAGTTATAAGTCGAGTTATGACTTTTGAGTTTAAACTGATCAACTTTTTCTTCGTTTTCTCAACCTTTAACTTTTCAAAATTTCATTTTTACCCCTACTCGGCAAATAGTATCTAACACAGAAAAAACGTGTTCATGGTTCCATTACTAAATACGCGTAGTATTTCTTTCAATAAAATTGAAATACGAAATAATATCTAACACAATAAAACGTGTATATCACTTAACCAGTGTATACACATAATATTTCTTTCGATAATTCCGAAACACGCAACAATATTTAATACGATAAAACATGTTCATGATTCAACTGACAAATACGCGTAATATTTCTTTTATTAACACCAAAATACGAAATAATGTTTAACACAATAAAACCCGTTCGTACTCCAACTAGAAAATACGAGTAAAGTAGGTACAAATAACGCGTAATAGTGAGGTTTTTTTTAATTTATAAGAAGACGTTGAAAATTTTACGAGTAATAACGGGTCAAGATTTCGTGGAAACGGCGTTTTTACGTTTCTGATACGTAAAAACGGTGTATTTACGAATTTTAAACGCGTTTTTACGCATTTTTTTAGGGGTCTTGTCTGTCTGGGTAGTGATGATTCTTTCCCCATAGAATCACTCTAACGTATCAGATATCAGAGTATCTTAGTATGATTTAAAATCTTCAGAATAATGAAACATCTGATAAGGTAAATATATATGTCATTAGTTTCTACACTGACTAATTTTCAACAATATTTGGCGAATTATGTAATGATACCATATTCCATAATTGGAAGTATTAGTTTACTTTTCAATATTATTATTTTCATTCATTTATAAGCTTCTATTATTCTAACTATTTATACATTAAATCATCCTGATACACTTACTTATTCTCTTTGTCTTTGTGATTTAATATATTATTTCCGTCATTCAATTAATCAAATGATGAGATCATTCTTTATATTGGCTTATGCTGATTCATTTGCGCTTTGTAGTCAAAGAGTACAAATTCGATTAGGGTGTAGGTATAATAAAAATAAGAAGGCCAACACCTACACCTACACCCGCACATGCTCCTCCCCCTCACAAACAGACTCCCCGTTTCTACGGAAAAAACAACTGAGTTTTTGCAATTTTTACATAAAAAACTCGATATTCAATGAAATTCATCAAAAATATCGTTTTTTACGAGACAAAAAGATTTAGGTATTTGAGTTCTTTTGAGGTTTCTAAGCTTTTTGAGATTTTTATTTGTTCGTTTGTAATACGAACTAACAAACGTATATCGGAGATTATATGTATCTACAAATAAATAAACAAAGAATTCCGTATTATGCGTCATTTAGTATTTTAATATGGATTTATATGATACAGGTTAAAAACATATACAAATTGTTTTAAAAACAAACAGATTTACAATATAATTCTTGTTTTTATATATCACACGCACTTTCTTACATGGTATCGGCTAAATGCATTGCCATAGCAACAATAGTCAGAACAGGGTTCCATGATCCGCCAGTTGGCCACAATGCTCCTCCAGTAAGGTAAACGTTGTTCACACCTTTGAGGCGGTAATCAAGACCCACTGGTGCTTCAGTGTCTTCATTATCGCCTATCCACATTGTTGAAGCATCATGAACAAGATTCTTGTTGCGTATTTGGTCTGATGGAGGAGGATCTTTCTTCCACTTTTTGTCAGTTTCATGCCAATATTCCAGATCATCACCATTTGCGGAACACGAGAGTTTATTCATTACCTCAAATGTTACACTGTCCATCAAGTCCCACAATCGGTTGTCTTGATCATTAAGGTGAAACGTTAGTTCTCCATTGGTAGTGAGGTTTCGGTTGTTGTTGGTCAAGTTAAACTGGTTGCTCTTATTCTTGTAATCCAGCTCTCCTAATGTTGAGCAAGATACCACAATATCGTCTCGGGATCTATCGATGCATTCTTTCGGTATTGAGTTAGCTGTATATTTTTTGCAGATGTCATGAATATTGTTGGTATCATTACACTGTGTATAGGCCACTCCGGATAATTGAAGATGATATTGTCCTCCGTCTTTAATGCCTGAAATGTACACTGCACCCAGTTCAACGTCGGGAGCGTTGTCTGGAAGTGATAGGTTTTGTCTAGGTACTCGAGCTATTACTGAGGTGACAGAATGTGCTGTAAATCTCTTTCCAACGTTAGAAAGTTGAGGAAATTCAGGCGATTCGAAAGAGTTAAGCACAAGTGTAGTAGCAGGTAATGTACTCATTGCTAATATCAGCTTAGTGTTATTGGGGATTTCGATAGTCCCTTGACTTGTTCGAAGACCTGTTGCTTTCTTTCCATCATGCAAAATTTCTTCCGCTGTACATTCATAAATCACAGTAACATTTTCCATCGATAGTAGCCTTTCTACTGTGGAGAATTTGATGGATCTAAGGAAATAAAAGATAAATATAATATTGAATTACAAAATATTACGAAAAAGCAAAAATTTTTCTACAACTCTACTTTAGATATAACTTACCGATCGTTGCCCATAGCAAGTGGAGCATGAAGAATATCGTCAACTGATTCTATAGTATCAGCACTATCCAAGCGTGATTTTAAGCCAGATTGAAATGTACCATAGAGATAATTACCATTCTCAAATGCATTTATCTCATTTGCTTCAATAACACCAAGGAATTTTTGTGCCAGACCAAAGCATATTTTTTGTAATTGCATCTTGAGATCGTTTGGCCATCCAGCTAGTTCTTTTGTTGATGGTGTTGGACTCCAGCCACTCCAATGCGTAGATCTACCTCCAAGGAATGGTATTTGCCCACAAACTTTTTGCACATATTCATTCTCTAGAGTTTCGGGCGAGATACTCCATGGTCTTAATTCCAAATCTCCTGGAGTAGGTAATGGAGTAGAGTAATGTTGGCGATGTTCAGATAGATATATTGAGCCTCTCTCCAATACAAGAATTTTGGCTTTTGGATTCTTTTGTAAAATTTGTTCAATGAAGGCTAACGAGCAAAACGAGGAACCGATCACAATGTAATCATAATGATTGTCACTTATGTCGGTAATAATCTTATTATGCGTCGGATGGCTGTCGAAGAAGTCAGTATCAATGTGACGAAAGATTTGATTGAATCCTTCGCAAATGAGAAAGACAGCAAAAGCTTTACCGTTAGGGTCATTCTCAGCAAATAATTCAAGACCCAGCTTATTGCCCACAGTGCCAAAAGTAGCAGATGAGAATCGAAGCAGCAATCGACAGTCGCCATGCTTAACTGCCAGTGACTTGTTTTCTTCTGAGCTACTGATAAGCTTGTTCTCCATATTGAAAGTAAGACACATGGAAGACACCTGATGAACTAGGGTCCATGATGGAAAACAATATTGAGCTGTCCACAGTGCGCTTTCTATGGTCGAGTTCATGAGGATTAAGCCATCGCTACCAACTGTTACGAAACAGTCATTGTAATTAATGCAACGGAGAGATAGATGCAGTGTTTGCGACATGTTATTCACACTAAATTTTGCTGTAGTAATAGGTATTTATCTAAAAGTAAATATATTCAGTTATACGAACTTTTACCTATGTAGAAATATTTTCTATTATATAGTTCATTTTTTCCCACATGAGTCATTGTTGATGACGTCATAGGGAAAAAATTTATCCAAGACTCCGTTTGTTCTCAATATCTTTCATACTGAGAGAATCGATAAAAATGTCGACAAAGAAGAATATCGAGCGTTGAAAAAGAAAGAAATACTCACTCAGACAAACATTCAATAACACATGTTAAAATTTTTACGAAAATAAAGTCATAAAAATGACACAATTTTACAGTTTTTTTATGCTTGCTTTGGCGGAGATTCAATTATAAAACATGAAATTATAGCATTATCAATTTATACGTACGATTGAATTAGTTGTTGAACATAGGGTGCATGTAGATTAGATACAAAACAGTGAATTTTTTGAATTGAACTGAGACTGAAACTGAACACATGAGTTTTTCAGTAAAGTCAAACTTGAATCTTGAATTCAACTACTATCCCATCTACACCTGCCCAAGCAATACCCAAATGCACTTACACTTACATCCCTTATACCTTAAAAACTTGAATTCAGTTTCAAGTTTGACTTTATCGAAAAAGTCATATCTATTCAGTTTTAATCTCAGTTCAATTTAAAACAATTCACCGTTTTGCGAGTGTCATATGTGGTTGTGCTGTATCTAATATACCCGCACCCTCTATTCAACAACTAATTCAATCGTACGTATCAATTGTTAATGCTATAATTTTGTGTTTTCCAATTGAATCTTGGGCAAACGAAGCACAAAAAAAACTGTAAAATTGTTGCAATTCTTATGATTTTATTTTTGTAAACATTTTAACATGTTGTTTTGAATGTTTGTCTGAGTAGGTACTTCTAATTTCTTTCTTTTTCAACGCTCAATATTCTCCTTTGTTGACATTTTTATATTTTTACTCATTCTCTCAATATGAAAGATGTTGAGAACGAACGGGGTCTTTGATAAATTTTTTCCCTATGACGTCATCAACAATGACTCATTGGGGAAATTTGCATTGCACTAGTTTCCCCAAAGGAGAATGGCTGAACGTGGGTGCGAGTGGGAAAAAACGATCTATATAGTAGAAGACATTATTCTTGAAAGGTAAAGGTTCGTATAGCTGAATATATTTATTTTCAGATAAATATAGTCGATAACTACGCGTTACTACAGCAAAGTTTAGTGTGAATAACATGTCGCAAACATTGCATCCATCTCTTAGTTGCATTAATTACAGCGACTGTTTCGTAACAGCTTGCAGCGACGGCTTAATTCTCAAGAACTCCACCAAAGAAAGCATACTGTGGACAGTTCAGTATTGTTTCCCATCATCTTGAGGGTGTGGGCGTTGGTGTTGTTTTTGGAATTCTTATTTTTATTCTACCCACACCCAAAATCTATAATAAGGAATCGTATTTAGCTGAACACACTGCACATTCCACGACTGAGATCTCGAGGATCAAGGAGCGGCAAGCTGTTACGAAACAGTCATTGTAATTAATACAACGGAAAGATAGATGCAATGTTTGCGACATGTTATTCACACTAAACTTTACTGTAGTAGCGCGTAGTTATCGACTATATTTATATAAAAATGAATATATTCAGTTATACGAACCTTTATCTTTCTAGAATAATGTCTTCTATTATATAGATCGTTTTTTCCCACATGAGTCATTGTTGATGACATGACAGGGAAAAAATTTATCAAAGGCCTCGCTTGTTCTCAACATCTTTCATACTGAGAGAGTGAGTAAAAATATAAAAATATCAACAACGGAGAATATCGAACGTTGAAAAAAAAGCAATCAGAAATATCCACTCAGACAAACACCTACAAAAACACATGTTAAAATTTTTACGAAAATAAAGTCATAAAAATTGCACAATTTTACAGTTTTTTTTGTTATTTTTAACTCATTTTTTTGTGCTTCCTTTGCCTAAAATTCAATTGTAAATATGATATTATAGGCTTAAATAATTTTATTTTTATTTAAATTTGGTATAACAACTAATTTAATCATAAGTACGATTCAATTAGTTGTGCAACAGAGGATGCGAGTAGATTAAATGCAAAACACTGAATTTTTTAAATTGAACTGAGATTAAAACTGAATAGCTACGACTTTCTCGGTAAAGTCAAACTTGAACCTTAAATTCAACTGTTGCATATATGTAAGTGTGTCTGATTTATTACCAGAGTGATAGAAAAATAACAAAAAAAAATGAAGCATTGAAGGCGGTTTAACCTAAAGAGACATACGAAAGAAAGAAGTAATGATCTTGTGTTCAATGGCAAAAAAAAAGACAATAATATTTTTCATTGAATTCAAAAAAAAAGAGTTTGATAGTATAATAATAACAGTAAGAGACAAATTGTCAAGATACGAAAAACACACAAATACGCACACACCCTACTTTCTATGTCTAGAAAGAACAACAGATAAGATATGGGTAAAGAAACTTTGTTTCTAGTTTTATTTTAAAAAAAGGAACAAAAAAAGAAAAAGGATAAGCCGATGTTATTTGATTGACGTGGAGATTGCTTTTGCATTTGTTTTATTTATTGGAATTTTTCATCGTAAAAAGCATTTTCATGTCCATTTGCATCAAGAAGTCGTGTAATCATATGAGAATCCGTACCCCATGTTGGAATATTATCAGCTACTAAGGCTTCTTTTTGATTAACTAAACTTATACTCCCATTTCGACTGAAAATACGAATACATGATCGTGATTGAAGTACAAAGTTGTCTGGAAATTTATAAACAATATCTTCTTTGGAATCGATTTTACGACGTATACTCCAGTTTTTCATATCTTGATCTTTTCCTATTGAACCGGCATTCTCAATGACGATAAAATTACCTTGTGGATCTACCTGATCAATAGCAATATCACCTAAATAGAATTTTAAAAAATATATACTATTCCTTTATTCATGCTGTTTCATTGATAATATGAAGAAGAGTAAATATTTGGGTGGGAGTAGTAGTTAGAATAAATATATCTCACGCATTAATTAAAGTCGACATAGACGTGCTAAATGGTAAACGATGACGAGAGTGGACAGTGATGAAAAGACAAAATATATATATTATTTTAATCAATGATACACACGAATAACTTCATCCTTAGTTATGCATCATAATGTAGTAAAGCAAAAAAATATAATCAAGGTTTTTATTTATTTGCTTATTGATATTTGTATATATATGTGTGTATGTGTTTTTTTTAAAGCATGAGCTTCCACTATGTGTAGTTTGACTAGCAAATAAAAAACAAAGCTCTTGCTTATACTTAGAACGAAAAAAAGAAGGACTTGTGTTTGTGTAGATTTAATGCTTAGTAATCTAACGAGAAAAAAAAGAAATCTTTTAGAATCCTATGTTTTGATTGTATGAATTTTTCAAATATGGATGAAAGATACTTGTTTTTCTCGAAAATTTCATGTTTAAAAGTATGAAATTTATTAAAGTTCGTTTCGATTTGTTCATTGATTTGAATAAATGTGATTTTTAATTATTAGATGAGAACATGATGTAATATTTGATATACATTTCTTGTAATTATAACCGTCTATATGCGACTAATCATGCGTAATGAGAGGAATGTATACTATCGCTATCTAGAAAAATAATGAGAGCAATTGGCCGGTAGGAGCAATGAGCGGGAACAAACTAAATGTCTCATCATAATCATTATCAATGGTCGAGCTGGATGACACAGATAAAAAAACGACAAGGGGTTAAACGAGTAAGACTAGTCCCGTTCTCAAGTATCTCGTGCCGAAAGAGGGATAAAAAGAAGAATATACTGCATCCGATTTTTACTATTATTCCGATTTACTAGCAGCAGTAATAATAACAAGAAGAAATATCATGTAGGATTTATAACAGGAAATATAAGTAAAGAGTTAAAAATGAAAATGGATATGGGTTTTTTTCTCGATTTTAAAAATAATATTCTAAAAAATATTACGATCGAATCTACAGAAAGAAGAATAATTTCAAATTTAATTAACCTTGTGCTGATTGTTTGGTCATTTGTCTCGTTGATACATTCGATGCTCGAAAATATATACAGCCAGCTGATACACCATTAACTGTTGATTCTGTTTGATAATGATATGATGATGATGATGAGAATTTGGGTGTGGATATGAGTATCGCTGTATGAGAAGAATATTCATATCCTCAATTATATATAATTGAAAAATAAATTGTTTTCTTAAATTTTTCTATAAATATTTTCGGGTGTGAGTGTGGCTGTGGGAATGAGTGTGAATGTGGGTATCGGAGCAGGTGTAGGTGTTGATATATTCTCCACTAAACACACCCACACACATACATACCCACACTCATACACACCCACCCTCAAGACTAGTTCGATTAACTAACAACAACAACAGTAATAAAAAGAAGAAATATCACATAGGATTTATAACAGAGAATCTGAATAAAGGGTTAAAAATAAAAATGGATATGGTTTTTTTCTCGATTTTTAAAAATTATATTCAAAAAAATCTTGGGTGTGGGTGTGCGTTTAGGTGTGAGATTGGCTAAAGAAGATTCACCCACACCCACACCCACACCCACACCCTAGACAAATCGTGTACAAACAATTGGAATTTGATGTTAGCTCAACGTTATTCAAGATTGGCACTCGTCATATAAGGATGGCATATTATCCATGGGTTGGGTCCGTATCCATTCCGTATTTGATACTGCTCTTTCGAAAGCTCGTCTTCAATACGTTGAATCCAATCTTGGCACATCTTAGCTTTGGATTCGTGAAGTACAAAGATTAATCGGCTAGTGACGATATTCTCACATTTTCTACAGTAACTCAAAGCTTCCGTAAGGTGTCTTTGTTGATAAAATACACAAGCCAGATTCCAATATACCACTGCTAAGTTCACATTGCTACTTGAATATTGAGATAAAATCTGTTCGGTCTCAAGCATTTGAAAATATTCGATGGCTTTCGTAAAATTTTTTAGGTGAATGTGCACAACACCAATATTATTTTTGGTAATTAATTTTTTTTTGTCATCCTTAAGTAATATTTCAGATTCAATGTCTAAACAAGTCGTATAGTTATGTAATGCTTCTAAATAATATTCTTTTTTACGACATATAGAAGCAATATTACTATATTTGATAGCAAGATCAGCTTGATTTATTGTTTCAGCATCTAAAAGAGTCTTCATTGCCAGATTATGATAAGTATGAGCACGATCATAGTCACCAATATTTTCATATACAGTTCCTAAATTGGTATATAAACTTGACAGAGAAGAATCTGTATGTGAAATATGATTCTCCAATTTGGTATTCAGTGCTTTTTTGAAATATATAATTGCTTCATTAATGTTCTTCTTACTTTTATATGTAACTCCAAGTTGATAGTAAACTAACGATAGTAAATTGAAATCCGAATTAATTGAATTATCTTCAATAGCCACTAATGAAAAATGTTCTGCATCGTCTAAATATTGCATTCTGCCCATGATTTTTATTAATTTTATCAAAGGTTTGTAAGGATCCGCCATATCTTTCTTTATTATTGAACTAATTACGTGTAAATGTTCATCTTCTTCATCGCTTAGTTTCAATTGAACAATCCAAACATCCTCATTGCTATCTTGTGTAATTGATAGTATACGAAAGATGACGCCCATTGTAAAGAGCACTTCTTTTTCAGCTTCACCGAATGCACTTTCCCTGGCAATATTCGCATAAGAAAATTTATCTATACTATTATCAATAGGAATTTCAAATAGAACACATTGTTCTTCAGACATTCTAGTCGATTTGTTATTACCAGCATATACGAGTGCTAAGGGTCGATCTTCAGTTGTCGATAGAAAACAGCTTGTAGCAAAGAATCCCCCAAGATTATCTCGTATTTTCCTGTCAAATTCTTCGTTCTTCATTAGTTGTCCACGATACACTGTACTATTTGTACAGGAAACTAGAGAAGGTGATAGATGAGAGTTATAGCGTTCTTTCAGCTTTAGATGAAGATCTCTTGTAAAATATCTTAGAGAATAAAGAGCTCGAACATCTTGATCTCTAAGAGCCTTGTTCAACAGACGATACAGAAATATATCACGTGTATACCAAAATATAGCATTTTCAGATTGATAATATTCGTCGAAATCGTCGACATGATTTAACTCTACTAGATTATCAGCATACTTTTGTCGACAGAAGATAATCATATCATTTCGTGATGTTTCGACATCTTCGATTAGGACGTCTCGAAGAACTTTTGAATACAAAAATTCGAGCACATTCCTATTTGATGAAGGTTGAGACTGCGGCGATGTTACTGGTGTTGTGTAAGCATCAGTTAATTCCTTCCAGCTGCTAATGATAAAATCGAAGCGTTGAAAATTTTCTCGACGTTGTCGTTTTATATTAGGTAACGAACTTAATTCATCGCATAACGAATATCGTTCAGTATATATTCCACGTATTTTGCTTAATTTATTGACTAGTTCACTATTTACATCTGTCGAAGTAGAGAGAATATAAATTGACTCTATTTGTGACAATTTGGCGCATTGCTGTATCCACGCATCGGATGGAAATAATAATTTGTTAGTCGATATAATTAAAATTACGCTGTTTTTATCATCGTCCAAATTGATTATATAATCAATACACTTATGTACGTCACGATATGAAATCAGATAGGGATCAATTTCGCAGAGAGACATATGACACTGACTATCGTGTGTCTGTAATAGATCAAGCCAGATAGTTGTAATAGTTTCTGTCATGTTTTCGTTCTTTCCACACAATTCCATTGTGAAGAAAGAAAAGCTACTGGTATACTTTCTAAAATATTAATGCATGAAAAATAAATCATTAGTTATTTTCTGAATAATTACATCAAATGAGTTGTTAACAGTATATGTTCAGTATTTACTAGGGTAGTTTGTCATATCTAGTATTTCCTGTTGCTATTCATTCAATAACTGTCTTTATAATGGCAACTAATTATATACTACCAATCAATAGTTCTTAGCTAGTTTTGATAATTAGCTGTAATTTCTCTGTTATTGTCAAAGATTTGTCGAGATCTATGGGGAACTAAGACAAGAAAGGATTCAAACTTCAACCTATACACTTTTTCATATTCTTCGATGCATATTAAACAAAATGAATACATTGCTCCTTTATATGTAGAAATTTTCATCTGTGATTATTTTTTTCTTTCGATGTTTACATACTTTTTTAGTCTACGAATTCTTTCGCTTTTCTCTCACTATTGGTATTCGGTCGACGAAAAAAAATTTTATTTTTTTTATTTTGCGTCACACACTCATAGGAAGAAAGAATAGTTTGTGATTGTGACTGAATATTCGAAATGAGTATGACATCATCATCTCTTTCTTCAAAATTTTCCTGTAATAGGAGACCATCTTGAGGGTGGTTGTGAATGTGGATGCGGATTTGGGTGAGGGTGTGGGTGTGAGTCTTTGGTGAAGTAAATACACGCATTCGCCCACTCCCACACACCCACACCCTCAAGATGGTTCTTTCTTCAATGACAATCACACTGACACCCGCGCCCACACCAACACCCCCGATATTCTCGTTTGTTGACATTTTTATATTTTTACTAAACCTCTCAATATGAAATATATTGAGAAAAAATGAAGCCTTTGGTAGATTTTTCCCTATGACATCATCAACAATGATTCATTTGAGATATTTACATTGCATTTTTTCCCAAAGGAGAATGGCTGAATGTGGGTGTGAGTGGGTAAAAATGATCTATATAATAGAAGACATTCTTAAGCCAAAATAAAAGTTTGTATAGTTAAATATTTTCATTTTTTGACAAATAGAGTCGATAAATACGTGTTACCACAACAAAGTTTGGTGTCAATAACATGTCGCAAACATTGCATTCATCTCTTCGTTGCATTCATTACAATAACTGTTTCGTAGCAGCTTGCAGCGAACACTTAATTCTCGAGAACTCGATCAGGGAAAACGCATTATGGATAGTTGAATACTATTCCTTAGCATGAACCCTGGGTGTGGGTGAGTGTGGGTAGAATAAAAATAAAGATCCAGAGCCCACACGCCCATACTCATACATTTACTCACAATCCACACTCATACTCACATCCACATACCCATTCACCCTCAGAAAAGTATTTTTTCCTACTTGAAAATAACAGAACACAAGAAAAGTTTCGTACATGAGTTATTTTAATTTGCATTCTATCGTTCTCAAGTAACATAACTACTGCTTGATTTTACTGTCTTTTAGAACTAGTAGCAAAGAAAACAACGCCATTTCGTCATACTTCTTTAATATTAATAAAACTGACTCAAATGGCAACTTATTCTAACAACCGCGAATGTTGATATGGTGATAGATGCCGGAATTCCGCATGTCGCTTTGAGCACCCGTATGGATGGCATCCCCAGGAAAATCGTACGTCAACAGGTAACCATAAATGTCGATATGGTGATCAATGCCGTAAGTCTAACTGTGACTTCGAGCATCCATCTGGATGGAATCCAGAAAATAATCGAAAGCAAACAAGTAATCGAACGCAAACAAGTAACCGAACGCAAGCAAGTGGTAATCAATGTTTCAAGGGCTCTATTTGTACTAAAGAAAATTGTTCTTACCAACATCCATTCGGATGGAATCCGAAAGAGTATAAAAGGCGTGAAGATGAAAAGCTCAAAGACTCTTTAAAAGATTATTGTAGCACTGCCAAAGGTCGTGAATATGTGCTATGGCTAAGAGAGAAAAAATCTCAACTGGAGACACAAGATACTTGCCGTCATCAATGGGTATCTTCGTCTATAATTCGGGATGATGATAACGCATCGGTTAAGAGATGTTCTAAATGTGGTCTTATGGAACATCATGTGTTTTCTTCGGATATGAAGAGAGATGACACAGTTAGGAAATACTCGAAATTTCTATAACGAATGAAAGCTTAAATTTGCAAGGTGCGGACAAGTAGAACGTTTTTTAACCCGATCTTTTTTTGTTAAAATATTCAGATTCTTTTACTTTATTCTTGAATTGAGGTTTCATCGACTTATTTATTGTTAATAAACAAATCTACAGAGGCGGATGGGTAGAGCACGCTCTTGACATAAGTCTTTTGCTCTGAATAGAACGCGTATTAACTTGTTTGTGATTTATTTAAAATGCATGTCAGATTATCTTCGGTGATCTTGTCATTGCAGTTTTGAGGGTGTGAGTATTCTCTCTCTGCAAACCCAGGCTAAGATCGACAGCTACACCCACACCCTCAACTTATTTTCAATCTGCTAATTCAAGTCTGAGCATTGTTTATATTTGTGTGAAATATTAATCAGAAAAATATTAATATCAGTATGGAGTATGAAAAAAGTCACAAACTTACCACGTCAACAATAATTTTAATTGAATGAATTATATGCTAGAATTCTTGATAATATTTTTTACTTTTTAATGTATGTTGGAAGCGGGCGATGAAGGTAGTTTATTAAAATGACGAAGTTATTTTTCCCAACCGACAAACAAAAAGTTAAGTTGGTAAATCAAAAAATGATCAGAACTCTAAAGCAATAACAACATAAAAATATACCAGACAACCAATCATTAGTGTCATTTTCTTCTCATGAAAAGGGAAAAAATCCTGTATTATTTCATCTGAAACCATATGAACAGCCAAAAGAAAAAAATTGATTTTTTTTATGTGGCTACTGCTATAAAAAGACATTTTAATACATTCTGCGAAAGAATAGACGCTATTAAACATGTTCAATACCACTAACAACGATGATCACATCAGATTTAAGCAACAAAACACTTAGCTTGATGGTAGACTTGAGTGTGGATACTGTATTCACCTAGCAACCATACCCTTGTTCAATGCAAAAGTTTTCAAGAAAATATAATGATGCTTTCTTTTCAATAAAGAGTATGAAAGAAAAATATCAACTTTAATCTAGCAAACATTGAATTTTATTCACGATGCTATAGTCATGGGTGTGTGAGCCAGTATCTTTCATTTACCCACATCCTCAAACTAATATCGCTGATTTTCATGGTAAAAAATCCTATTCATTTTTATATATTCTTGTTTTTATAATCTCAACGATTGAAAATGTTTTAAAAGATTTTGCGTTCTGTATACTGTTATTTTTTACAGTGTGCAAGAACATTCATCGAGATAAGACATGTATATGGATAGGTTTTATTGTTTAGAAGGAATTTTTATTAAAAGATAATTAGCAAATATCATATACTTGTTGTCGAAGCGATCGCTAGCTGTATAACTTTATCGAAATAAGAATGTTACTCTAATGCTAGAAGCTGAGTTCAAGACCATCCTATTAAGCAGAATAATGTATTTAAGCAATAGTCATCGACTGTCTTACTCTTGTAATAGCTTTCAAAGCTTTAGAACCTTCATCACCGATTTTGTTTGAACCCAGTTTCACTTTCTTCAGTGTCTACCGAGAGACACATCAGGTTGACTTCGAGTCTTACTCTATCGAAAACTTACTTGATTGATCTGTAATGCTTGTGCAAAACTTTGAGCACCTTCAGGATCAATCTCGTTGTTTTCCAGATCAATTGTTGTCAATCCCTACTCATCAACAATATTCAAGTAGAAACTACCGATCAGAATAAATTTGAATCGAAAAACTACCTGATTCGTCATCAATGCTTCGGCTAGCGCTTTAGTACCTAGTGCACATATTGTACTGCTTCCGAGAGATATGTCTGTCAGTACCTAGAAAAAACAAGAGCTCGTTGCGTTGATTATTTCAGGACAAATTGGGCATATACGTTGTTGACAGCAAGTGCTTCAGCGAGAGCACATGCACCCTTATCACCAAGGCGGTTGCTCTTAAAGTTGATATGTGTTACTGTCTACGATTCGGCGATGAATCATCATTGAGCGTGTAGTAAATGCATACAATGTATAATTTACCCGATTGATCTTCAATGCTTCGGCAAGAGCTTGAATACCTACCGGAGCCATGTGACTATTTTCTAGATCTATGTTTTTCAATCCCTATAAGAAGACAGTCAAGATTTATCGACGAGAAGCGGAACTTTAATATCGAAAGAGTACGCTGTTAAATTTCAATGCTTCAGCTAGTGCTTTGATACCTGGTGTGTCAGTTCCACCCCAGCTAATTTCGATCGATGTCAGTGTCTAGATGAATGAAATAGACCATAAACTCGAGTGAATATTTGTAACACAATTTGTAACATACATCATTGACTTTCAGCGCTTCTGCTAAGGCAATAGCACCTTCCTTCACAACACTTTCATTATGAAATGATAGAGTCTTCAGTGTCTACAGGATTATGTTAATTGTTGACAGTCATTCTCCTATTGATAAGGAATAGAAACATACTCTGTTGACTTTCAAGGCTTCTGCTATGGCTTGAAGTCCTTCTGAACCAATCCAATTATGGCAGATTCTCAGTGTTATGAGCGTCTATATAAATAATAACAAAAGTTAGTGTTCTGAGTTCATAAGTGATTGTATCAGACTTTGTTGACTTTCAATGCTTCTGCTAATTGTCGTGTACCGTCGTCACATAGGTAATTCACTTCCAAATCGAGATCCCTCAATGTCTTCAAGAAAATAAAAATGATATCATTCTCCTAAGCTTTCTCAGCAAATGATGTAGTGAACCTTATTCACTTTCAATGCATCTACCATCATGCCAACACTGAATGATTCGATTCTATAGCGACGTAGGGCCAATTTTTGGAGTGTCTAAAAACCTTTTATGTGTTACGATTGATCGTCGTAATTTACAGAAATTGGAGTACTCTATTGATTGTCAATGCACGAAAAAATTCTTCAGCACCCTCGGCACCGGCTGTACAAGTATCGAGATCGACCGTTGTTACACCCTTCAAGCATAAATAACCACTGGTATATATATGATCTAGATCGGTAACCGTGGGAACATACCTGATTAAACCTTAACGAATTACCCAATGCTCTCACTCCTTCAGGGTCGAAACGGTTAGTTTTAATGTGAATGATAGATATTGTCTACACAGAAATTGAATTATCAGTGATATCACTCACGAAAACATACTCGATTGATGCACAATGCGTTAGCCAACATTTCAGCACCTGTTCTGTCGATATGATCACCTATGAACTCAAACTTCGTTACTGTCTGTTCATGTACAATAATAAGATAGAGATGATTTTCTTATACATAGATTCAATAGTTGATGACTTACTTGATTGAATTTCAGAGCATTAGCCAATGGTGCAAACCCCTCAAGATCCATTCCTCCTGCTTTCAAGAAGATATGATTGAATTCCTAGAATATATATGAAAAGTATGTTGATGACATTGAACTGATAACCTAGACAAATTACGTTAATTTCATTGAAACAAAAATTCTAATACCACTATGAAACTAGACTTTGTAGAAGGGAGATATCATACGGAACTAACAAGTTTACCTGATATGGTGCATATGTATCTGTGATATCATTCAGTCTCTGGCAGACACCACCTAAACTTAGCATGATACATTTTGGAGTCATTTCATCGAGAATTCGATACACGAGCTCTACTGGAATTGTTGTTAACGATGGAACAGCTACTTCCGACATCAGACTGAGTAAAACACAACGCGGTGTCTTTATTGATTGCAGAATCCCAAATACGTTTAAAAATGTTGGTATTGTTTTAGACTGATGGATTTTTATTTTAATTCCGCGAATGCATCTAATGGTAAAAAGAAAAGAACACTGTAGACACAATTACAACTAGACCATAGAAAAATGAAAAAGAAAGAAAATGTAATTAGATAAAAAAGCTCATT